AAGAGCAGGTCTACCTTCGCCACCATTTGCTCACAGATCACGAGGATCTGTCCACTTATGACGGCGTCGTCAGGCAAATAGCGTACAAATTTCTGGCACCACTGCCCACTGTGTCCCAGAATATCGTCATCAGCGCCACCACCGAGTTAGTCCATCACATGTCCTCCACGATCATCACCACCGAAGTGGTCGAACTGACCACGACATCCATCACCGATATCAACCATCCGACGGCATTCCCGGCCAAAAACATCAACAACACCACCACAACGTCAGTGATACTGCAGAATGAGAACTACTCGACCGCACTGACCATCACGATAGGCATCGGGTGCTCACTACTCATACTAAATATGCTTATATTTGCCGGTGTCTACTATCAGCTGGATAAAAATAGAAATATTGCTCAAAACAACTCCAATCAAAAGTCCAACAAAAATGAAGATTCCGTTAGTATTAAAGTATTTTTTTATCTTTTTTCAAACACCGATTCATTGTATAAATATTTAATGAGATTTCTAAATATAACTTAATTTCTATTGTTTTTTTATATATTTCATTCATCAGAGAGATTGTTATACAATCTCTGATTAAATTTGATAAAAATTTAATTTATTTTCTTACGTACATAGTCTTCATCCTTAAAATTAATGTTAGCGAATATTTTTGACAAAATATTGATCCGAAAAATAAATTAAGTCTTCATTTGTGTGTGTTTTAGCCTTTTATGAGATAAATCAATGCCTAAGCATTCATAGCCTCTATTCATCTTTAATATTGTAGAAAAATACTTAAATTTATTAATTAAATATTTGATTCATAAGTTTTATGTCTGAATGAGATTTCACTGATTATAATGATTATATAACTTATTTTATGAACAAAAAAATATTTTAAATAATACTCATCTAATAAATCACATAAAATTTACTACATTGAGAATTGTAGCCAGAATTAGTCTGAATGAGATTTCACTGATTATAATGATTATATAACTTATTTTATGAACAAAAAAAATATTTTAAATAATACTCATCTAATAAATCACATAAAATTTAATACATTGAGAATTGTAGCCAGAATTGCATTAAACTTTTCTATGTTATGCATTTTAATGTGATTATTGATTTCATATGCACTTTACGTTTACGACAGCAATTGGGTTTACATATAAAATGATAGTTATATTTGTTTTACAGATATAAATGTATTGTTCGCATCATTGGATTAGTTGACCATCCTTTTTAACCATTCAGTTTAGCCATAGCTATAACACTATAACGCAAATGATAACAATATATAATATATTATATATCGCATACAAACCCTTATAAACAAAAACTCATATACTATTGCTTATCTCATATTTTTTCTTTTCAATTGCCTGGACCATAGCTATAACACTATAACGCAAATGATAACAATATATAATATATTACATATATCTCATAGAAACCCTTATAAACAAAAACTCATATACTATTCCTTATCTGATATTTTTTCTTTTCAATTGCCTGGACAGCCATCAAAAGGAGATGAGACTATAGCGCTCTCGGATAAGATGGAGGCGTCGACTATATCGCGAATGTCTATTCCGTCGCCCATTAGTAATATGATCGGCCGATCGGACAGTAGCGACCATTTGGATAACATCTACTACCAGTACAAAGCAGCCAAGTCTTACTCGATGGCCAATAACGTGGGCCATAACAACGGCCACAATAGCCTGCGGCGACCGCAGAAAGTCAATGTACCGACCGCACCGGTACCCAAAAGCTCACACCACGATCAAGCATCACAAGTGCCTTCACATTTAGCCAATGATTTGAAACTAATTCCCGTTTATATTGAACATAATTTGTCCGCTAAGGAGATGGCGGTCTAATTGATGATTACTAGTCTCACACAAACACCTTAACTGGAATCACAGAATATTCTGATTCTTTTAATTATCTCCATTGTGTTTATAAGACTTTTTTAAGAATCGTTTTATAGATTTGATAAATTAGTTGATATTTTGTTTTTAGTTTTAATTACAAAAACATTTGTATTCTTTTCGCACCTCTGGAGTGAAAATAATGAAAATACAAAGTTTGTCTAACATTCATATTTAAGCTGATTTTTATTTGTTTCATATATTTTATGTATTTATGAAAATGCTGTATATTTTTTATAACGCAAAACATTTTTTCAATAAATAAAGAAAAAGGTTATTACGAATTCATAAAATATTCAAACTAAGTAACTATTTTACTCTACTTTTATATACATATTCTGTAGAATATTCTGATAGCAAAATATGTCGGAACCAGTGCCGACACATGTGTTACAAGAATTAAAGAATATGTAAAATAAAATATATTTCTGGAGCCAAATATTAAATTTCAAAAACCAGGTTTCGGATTTCAAATACAAATATTTTTTATACACATCTTTACTGGCAAAAATGTTTAGTCAATTGAAACTTGTCTAAACACTAAATATTAAATATTCTCTAAAAAATATTAATATAAATCCCAATAATAATAACTGTATGGTATGTAAATCATTATTGAATACATTAAGTGATAGAAAAAATATTGGATTAACGGTATTCTGGGCGACGTTTTTTTGGTTAGTATAGTATATTAAATACTATACAGCTCTCAAACAGTATTTATTATTAAGGAATTGTTATTTAATACAAACACAAAGAAGTAGAGAAATGATTGCATTACATGTGTTTCACTTAACTCTATGGACCGCTTCTCCATCTCTCTCTCTCTCTC